CACAGGCTTGTTTGTATCAACTCCTGAGAAATTGCTGGGAATTTTACAGCAAGATTTTATGTATAAGTATTAGAAGGAAAATCTCCCCGAAATAAGGAAGACTTATGTTCAAATAAACAAAATTTGAGATGTAATATCAAAATAATGCAGGTATGCATAGAGCTTTCCTCTTCTTTAAGCTAGCCATTGGTTGAATGTTTTCTCTTATTTCCATTATTCAGGTATGAACGCTTGGAAGAGCAGCTCAATGACCTGACTGAGCTTCATCAGAATGAGATGACCAATCTGAAGCAGGAACTGGCCAGCATGGAAGAGAAGGTGGCTTACCAGTCCTATGAAAGAGCCAGGGATATTCAGGTACAGACTTACCAGTGCTTATGCAGTTGGTCCAACAACCAGTTCTCCAAACACACAAGCATAATTTTGTGTGAATTAGTGGCACTCTAGTGGCCAAACACTCAGGTCAGATCAGCCAGCATCTAACGAACAGAGAGCTAACAGTCGTTCTGGCTCCCTCTTATGGCCGATTGAGGAAAACAGCAACCAATCACATTTTACAGTATGATTTAAAGAAACAGGTATGGTATTGTTACATGATTTATATATTGCCAACCAAACCGTTAAATTATATTCCTAACAACATGTCCTCTGACCATTTCAAAAATTTATGGTATACTATACAAATCTCAGATAGGCAGCACTTGCAACCAAGTCTTTTTACTGAAACTCTGGCAAATACTCTCAAGGAGTTTTCTGAATATGGTTGTCTGGAGATGAAAAATATAAATGGTATGGGGGAAAATGTTTATCCCAGAAGAAAATGAATTAGACCAAATCTTCTCAAACTTGTCAACTTTGAGATGTATAGATCTTAAACTTCCAGAATTCCACAGCCAGCATGCCAGGTTTGAGAAACACTGAATTAGACCTATATTTAAATAACAAAGATTTTTGGGTAGGATTTACCTTTATTTTATTACCCGCCAATAAATTACCTTCTTTTGCCAGGTTATGGAAAGGTCATAACTCAGAGGAAAAGTAGACAATCTCAGTTGAAATCCTGGCATCTCCAAACTGGGAAAAAGTCCTGGATGAGATCCTCAGGAGTCATGGCATGTAATACTGAGCTGATAATATTGATGAGCCATTATCTGGCTCAGTATAAGGCCTCTTTCTCCTGCCTTCTGTACTTTTTCTCATGATCTTTATAACTTAAGGAGAAAAAAGTGTTGCTGTGAAAATTTTTAAAAGATGGGGTGAGAGAGAGCCAATAGGAGCTTACTTTTACCATTATCCCATGGTAGAAACTAAGGCAGGGTTGTCAAACTCCTGGCCCGCAGGCTGGATGCATTACGCATTGGCCACGCCCCCATTTGGTTTAGCAAAGCGGCAAAAACTCCCAATACATTATATGATGCCATCATGACGATGTGACTTTGATACCCCTGAACTAAAGCAAAAGTGTTGGTATAGCACAGTGATGGCTAACCTTTTTCTAAAGGCATGCCAAAATTGCATGTGTGCACCCCCCACCCACCTGCGTGTGCAACCCCCCGTGCTTGTGTGTGTAACACACACACACCCATGCAGAGGGGGAGTTTTCACCCTCCCCAGGCTCCGGAGTCTTTCCTGAATCCTGGGGAGGGCGAAAAACAGGCCCAACAGGCCAACCAGAAGTTTGTTCCTCTCTAGGCTCCAGAGACTTTCCTGAAGCCTGGGCAGGGCGAAAACGGCCTCCCTTAGCCATCTGGAAGGCTGAAAATCTGCTGGCCAGTGTGCACATGCGCACTGGAGTGAGGCCTGCCGTGCTGGCAAATATGGCTCCAGGTGCCACAGGTTCGCCATCACGGATATAGCAGGTTGAAGGTAATTTCAGATAGCTGTATCAACAGAGGAAAATATTTGTTGGGTTGAAATTAGAGATACTTGGAGTTCTCTGAGCTTGATTGTTTTCTTGCAAATATTCATTAACCAAACTAAGTAACATCATCGGTGCAATGATTATGATATACAATTGATATTCCATTCCCCTTTTTTCTGTATTGTCTTCACTGAACTTTACTGCTGCTCTCTTTCTGTATAAATAATATACTGTATAATCTGATGTATAAAAATGTTTTCCTTCTTTCTTCATAAATTATATAAAGTTGAATGTAATTGAGAATTATATTCCCGATATGTGTTGTTCTGCCCCCACGTGGCAATTCGAGGAACATCTCAGACTGATCAAAATACTTCAAACAAAATAAATAAGTAAAAGAACAGACATATTGAAGGAGATAGTGCATGTTTCTTACATTAAAAAAAAAGATTCATCAGAATTTTTAAGGAAGTACATCTTCTTCTTTACATTGCTGTGAGATATTACCATCCTCTTACTTTGATTCAGCAGCAGTTTTGGGGAGGTTTTTCATGCACGCATGAGCATGTTCAAAGAATCAGGGAAAGCTACACAAGTCTTTGAGGGATGCAACTGCCTTAGCATTTCAAACTGTGGTTTGATTGCTGAATGCTGAACACAGCCATGTCAAGTATCTTCCACAAGTTACTCTAATCTTTTTCCATCCTCTCATGTGTACTAATCAAAAATTTGAAAAAGAAATCTCATTGTTCAGACAACTGAGACAGTTGCTTCCATCTGATATGAGATATTGATAAGAGAAGGAGTCATGGGAAGGCAATGGAACATGCTCTGAGTGTCTGAGCGATCCTGTCATATGTATTATAGAACCCTGCACGGGGGTAACTTCAATGCCACTATAGTGAACGGTAGTGATATTCACCATAAGGAAAGCCAACACTCTCTCTTAGCAATAGCAATAGCAGTTAGACTTATATACCACTTCATAGGGCTGTCAGCCCTCTCTAAGCGGTTTACAGAGTCAGCATATTGCCCCCAACAATCCGGGTCCTCATTTTATCCACCTCGGAAGGATGGAATGCTGAGTCAACCCTGAGCCGGTGAGATTTGAACTGCCAAACTGCAGAACTGCAGTCAGCTGAAGTAGCCTGCAATGCTGCATTTAACCACTGCGCCACCTCTCTTCCCTAAACCATCTAAAATATGTATTTATTACATGCACTTCTTACACTTGCACGAGGCTTGTGGTGGTTTCCTGTCCATATTATCTCCTATCCACTGGTGATGCAGCTCATGTTCAAGTTACATATTAGTATTATCTTCAATTGTGGAAATTCTTAAGGTGACTAAAGAAGTCCCTGTGGGTCACATTAGAACATCATAATAGAAGATACCACAATATTATAATCATTCACTTTATATACACTTTCCTGCTGCCAGAACATTGTGAAATTTGTTGTAGAAAGTTGATTTATGCTAAACTACACAATGGATGCATTCATCTTAGTATTGAACCTTCTGTGTTATAGTACCTTTCCAATAGGTCCAATTACAAATTTGCCTGCTATTGGGTCACCGTAACTAGATACAGTGAACTGAATATAATGATCATTCTACTATAGCTAGGTAAAATAAGCATGCACAAGTTATTGCTTAGTTATCAATTAACTTTGATCCCTTCTTTGTTTGGTTTTTCCCCACAGGAAGCTGTGGAGTCCTGTCTGACTCGGGTAACCAAGCTAGAACTGCAGCAGCAGCAACAGCAAGTGGTGCAACTAGAAGGAGTGGAAAACGCCAATGCCCGTGCTCTACTGGGAAAATTCATCAATGTCATCTTGGCCTTAATGGCCGTGTTGCTGGTCTTTGTCTCCACCATTGCTAGTTTCATCACTCCAATGGTGAAGACCCGCATGCGTCTCCTGAGCACTACTTTACTAGTGCTTTTTGTCTTCCTCCTCTGGAAGCATTGGGACACCATCACTTATCTCCTGGAACATGTGTTGCTGCCTAGCTGATTTTCTTGGCAGCCAGTTGCTGCGGCTAGAGGGAGTTCATTTCTTGTAGAAAGGAAGCAAAACTGAGGCGACTTCCAGTTGGTTTTATGTCCATTTGGAGTGTGCAATTCTCAATTGCTTCCTCTTCAGAGCCTTTTGTTGTTGTGCCCAACATCATCTCAGCCGTAGGGAGAGTAATTACAGCGGAGCTTATGAAAGGCTTACTCTGTCACACTTCTCCTCTGCAATGCTCTCGCAAGGCAGACGGGGAAGACAAATAACCCCCATAAAGAGCTCAATCTTTCTGATTTTATCCATTTCTTAAATCAGATAAAGAGATGATGATGATGATGATGAGGGCAGTAATTCATGTACAATCAAAAGGTCTTCTCTAAAAAGCAGTTGCTTAGTTATGGATTTTCATCTATGTTGGAGAGAAGTGATGGAACATTTATCAACGTAGTAATATATGAAGACAGAGATAAAGAAGATTCAACACTGAACTTTTTCTTTTTATAACTCATGAAGATGAAAACAATCCAAGAATTAAATTGTGCATACAACAGAAGATAATTCAGGTAACAACGTGGAGCTTAATTTTCCTTCTCATAGGACAACTGAAATTCCAGATATTTAGCTGGACTGCTTCATGTCATGGATTTGTTGTCCTTGTGGGTTGGTTTATGAACTAATGACAACAGTATCTGAGGAGAACGCATTGAGCCTTCTGATGCAAACTCAACGGTTTTGGTTGGCTTTGTTTTCATTTGTTTTCCTTTTTGATATTTCCATGGACTTTAGAAATACTTATAATCTTTACAAGTGTGTGTGTGTGTGTGTGTGTGTGTGTGTGTAAGTGTGCATGTGTTAATTTATTGATTTCAGAGATTTTTTTTTAAAAAAACCAAGCATTAGTAAGCAGTCACCTGCCTTCACATGATGGAGGGCTTTAAAGTGCTCTAATAGCAATAAACCCTCAATCTGCACAAAATGAATGAGCCACCACTTGAATTCGACAGTGTTCATTAACTAGGAGCAGTAGATAATTTGTCCAATCATCACGGACTTTGGAGAAATCATATTCTTTGATAGACATTTTCTCATGAAAGGGTAAGCATCTTGACATGCATCATCTGGTCTTTTTGAAGGTAGCAATTGTTGCAACCCATTTGATGCCATTTTGTTTTTAACTGAAGCTATCAGACCATGGCATATTGTAGGTTGAAAGCTTAAATTGTATTGATTTGATTAGGAAGTTTTACGCCAGATGATAGAGCAGAGCATCTGCTCTGATTCGGCCGAGATATACTTGCTTTTCTGGGCAACAGAAAGACTTAATTGCATGTTAGGGTTAAACGGCTGGAATCTAAATATCTAACAGAATGAAATGGGAGAGTCCTGAGATAGTGGAGAACGGACACTTCAGACTCATGGCATGGCTATCCTCATTCTCTTTTACCACTTTATTCTGTTGCATGTGTAGATATTGTTTGAAAACCATAGGTGTTTATTTTGCACTTACAAGAACTTTGAACAGCCCTTGTTATAAGATAGGAAAAGGAAAGGCAGCACTGACATCTGTGAGGATCTTCTGCTCATACATAAGTGAGCAAGGTAGAAGGAGTTATTTTCCATGTAACGCAGGGAAATTATGGAAGTTTAAGTTTTGCAGTAGCTGCTTCCATTCTCCAGCATCAAGACAACCAATGCATCTGTTTGACTTCATTCTCCTTAGGACTACTGAAGGCTGAATAACTTCACCCTCTCAAAACAATGATTTTATTCTCCCTTCACTGCTCTCCTATAACAATACGGCACATTGGCTCTTTATTACACAAAACATTCCTGGATTATTTTGCGTAAAATAATATCTACAGGGAATAATTTTAGGCAAAATAACAGTCATCCTGGTTCGGCTCCTGTGTTTTACTCGCTGCTAGCACTTAGAAATGGGGAAATGGTTCTAGTTAAAGCAGCTGAGACCAAAATGGGCCTACATGTTTGAATAGCATCATGGAATTTGGGCCTGAGGCTGATTCTTTTCCCTGTAGAGGCCTAAGTGTTGATTTTACCTCAGTACCATATTTTTCTAAAGATAAAATTCCCTCAAATGTAAGCTTCGTTCTGCCCTTACTAAGCCCCGGAGATGTGAAGAATCCAACCTTTATTTAGGCATCTACTTGATTTGTATGTTTTCTTGAAAAAGTCTGTTTTTATCATCCGTCGCAAAAATGATCTGGTTTTATACTGTAATTTGAATGGGTAACATGTTAAATGACGTTAGGATGAATGCTGAATGAGGTAGAAAGATGATGTTGGTTGCAAGAAAAGTGCTATCCCGGAAGATAAAATAAAATAAACGTTGGCCACTGTCAGTGGTGAAAGTGTAATTATGCAGGATTGGCTCTTTCATCGGTGTTTCTTATTTTGCACTGTTCCTGACTTCTCCCTGTCAGTACATGACAGTGGGAATCGGAAAGCAAAGTGGCTTCATTAAAGAAAGTTTGTGGTGCTGTTCCTAGGTGCTGTTCCTTGCTTTCAACAGCAATAGGAGAGTATAATTATTTGGGATGTTTGTCCCTTACTTCTATTCCTCATTCCATTCTCCCCCCCCTCCTCTAGTGATCTATTGCAGGGGTCTCCAACCTTGGCAACTTAAAGACTTGTGGACTTCAACTCCCAGAATTCCTCAGCCAGTCGCTGGCTGAGGAATTCTAGGAGTTGAAGTCCACAAGTCTTTAAGTTGCCAAGGTTGGAGACCCCTGATCTGTTGGCCTGTATATGCCATTGTACACGTTAGAAGGTATATATTTTGATCGGAATGTTTGAAATGATAAGTTTAAGTATAAATCGATGGGAGAAAAGCTGGTGATCATTCCAAGCTTGGGGGAAAGCGCAAACAATCGATTGCCATAATTCTTTGTGGCCTTAGATTGCATAATTCATTTACCATCCCAGATTCAGCTGACTCAGAATACTGTTCCCCCCACCCTTTGCTCCCTAGGTGTGTGGCATTGGCCACATACCGAGTTTCCTGAAAGCCTAAATTTCTGCCTCTTTAGGATAGATCTGTGCATGCTATGAAAATGATTCAGAAGGGCTGCTTTGGGCCTCAGGCAAGCACAACAATTCTTCTCTGTTCATTAAAACAGCCCCCCTTTGCAGGCTTCTGCACAAGCCTGAAGAAAAGAGGCAGCTCCTTTAGTCACCCCATTAATGGGATGAATTCACTCCTTGAAGCTGCTTTGAGACGTAGGAGAAACTGCTGTGTTCCCAGAAGATCTGCTCTCCCTCTGAATATTTTCGAAGCATACTATACCTTAGTTTAGGATTCTTATCATGCCATCAGTTATACCATTATATATTTAAATATATGTATGGAGGATTCTCATGATACTGTATGTTAAAGTTTAAACCTCACCTTCAGGCATAGTCCTTTTCTGAAAATGTTTGACTGTATTTATTATGTATGCTTGATTCTTCCCCACCCACTCCCTTCGCCCCATACTATAATATTATATTTCTTTTTCATTAGGAGCCCCTGACAAGCCCTACAGGTTTGGATTAATTTACTGTACTTTTTCATTTACTTTTTTTTTTCAAATAAAATGAGATTCAAAACTTTGGCATAAGAAAAGTGCTTTATTAAGCCTGTTAGTACCATTATTTACAAGGAAAGAAATACACAGCGATGTACTAAAAGGGCAAAAAGTTAGCCACATTTTTTTAGAACAGAGGTATCCAACTTTAAGACTTGTGGCTGAGGAATTGAGGAAAGTCGACAAGCCTTAAAGTTTGGAGACCCCTGTTCTAGGACAGAGTTTCTTAAACCTGGAGATGTGGGGATTTCAACTCCTGAAATTTCTCAGCCGGTATGTTATGACCAGTTATTCTTAGCTTGGGTTAAGATTTAACATTCCCCAGGATAGCTGGGCTTAACATACCAACTATTAGATATTTTGCTGGCTCCCAAGTGCCCTTATTTATCCAGATTTTGCCATGTTGGGCAACCTATTCGCTTCAGCCTGAAACTCCGTATTCCTTATTTTTTGGATGAGCAGTTATTTGGTACTCTGGAAGATAAGATTCTTGTCTGGCAGACAATCTTTGTTTTCTGCAGAAAAAGCATGTTTGCTGAGAAATATTCAGAAGGCCCAGAATAGCCAAACCAAATTACTAGTAAGTCCCAGAAGACCAGAGTTTCATTATTTGCACAAGACTTCATCCTTCTGCAGAGTTAGCTAAACCAGAAGTTGGTATTTACAATGGATTAATTTACTTAAAGAAAGTGTTCTCTTACAGAGAAAAGATGGAACTGTTGTTGTAAATTGTGGCTCAGACCTGCTTGCTGAGAAGTGAATATGGAATAGCCAATCTGCAGAAGAAGGAATGCACAGAAAATGACGGACTGCAATTATCAGAACAAGAACTGATAGACAGAAATATAATGAAGCAGATTTTGGATAAACATCAGGAAAGAATGCCTTGTAGTGAGAGCTATTCAGTTGTAGAAGGACTGCCTTAGAAGTGGCAGCTGCTTCTTTGCTGATGGTTTTTCAGCAATGGTTGAAGAGCAATGGGCCAGGGGCGCTATAGCTGTATTGCAGATCCTCTATTAGTCAGGGAGTTAAATTATCTCCAGTGCCACTTCCAACTCAATAATTCTACTATTTAAGAAGGTTCCATGAAGGATTATATTTTTAAAAAGTGGGACAACCCAGTTTAAGAGAGGCTCATTTCTACTCAGTCCGTTTCTGAGTATAAATCTGCATTCATCCACCTTTGATGTTCACCTGCCTATGATTTAACTCTGAATATTTGTCAGAATCTCTCTTTGCATCTTCCACCAATTAATATTGACTATTAATTCTATTCCTGCTCCATGTATACTTTCAATTCTTTATTTAAGATTTTTATAGAATTCTGGTATGTAGGCAGTGAATGCCTTTCATCATTCCTATCTACGAATGATCCTTTACTCAGTATTAGATTAAATATAATGGCATAGGTGAAAGGAAGAAGGTCAGCCTCCTGCAAGAAGTCTCAAATGCTCGATTTAGTATGAGCAGTCTGCTACCAGAAGCGTTTTGTCTATTTATAAAGCCGCAGAAAATGATAAGCCCTGCTAATCTAAGGTTGGAGTTCACTCACTGCATTTGAATCTAGCTGAGACATTCTATCAGAGTGAAATTCAAACCGAAAGAGCAAAACAATTTGCACATTAATAATTCAAAGAGAATTAGAGCTTTGCTACTGAGAGTACTTCAGAACTTCAGAATGGACAATAACATTCCCTTTGTTTCCCAGGGATCAATCCAACATTTTCAGTCAATGTACAGAGACAGAAGGATCAAAGACAACTTGAAGCCAAACGCATAGGAAGTGCAACTTACAATCAATGAGAGGTGATGTCTTCAGTATAGTGGACCATTGTAGAACAGACTAGAATTTGGGCCCATATATTTTCCAGATCCTTGGTGCTAGCTTAAAAGGAAGGTAGACACACAGGAGCAGTGCCAACCTCCCACCTAGAATTTAAAGAACAATAGCAATAGCAATAGCAGTTAGACTTATATACCGCTTCATAGGGCTTTCAGCCCTCTCTAAGCGGTTTACAGAGTCAGCATATTGCCCCCAACAACNCCACAGGACTAGGGAACAGGTCACTTTATATTCAGTTGTCGGTGTATTTCTGTCCAATTTGGTTTAGGAAAGTGATGGACGATTTTTTCCCTACAGGACTGTACTTCAAAAAATTGACAGGGTCAGGTAAAAAAAAAAAAAAAGAACCCATGACACTTAACATTACATTTAAAATTGCATATGGTTCCTAGGATGACTCTTCGGCCACATTTTTAATACTGTAATGTTCGTCTTGTGTCAGATTTAACAATTTGTTAATGACTGTGGAGGTCTACAGATTAACAGTGTTGGAGAAGGGACCTAAACCAATTCCCACAACCTCCATCCCGCCCAAGCAGGTGACGCTGCACCATTTCTAACAAATGGCAGTGCAATATCTTCTTGAAAACCTCCAGTGATGAAGTCACACAACTTCTGAAGGCAACCTGTTTCGTTGGTTTCGTTGGTCTCTCACTGTCAGAAAAAAAATCCTTATTTCTAGGTTGAATATCTCCTTGATAAGTTCCCAGCCATTATTCCTTGTCTGTTGTCTCGGAGTTGCACTTGGAGTCTGTGGTTCTGCCTTGTAAGCTTTCTAGACCAGCCATCATTCTCAACTATGCAACCCACATTTATGCTCAACTACCCAGCAAAGTCTGTTTTTTCCAAGCTGGTGTCTTTCAGAAATAGACACATCGTTCCAGAGATGATAGAAATTATAGTGCAATACCTGTGGAGTTTACAGAAAGCATATAGCTGCCACATGATCACGAGAAGGACACGTTTGATTTCAGGTACTACTGATAGAAATTTCACATGTGCCTCTCTTTGTGTGGTTTGAATTAAATTTTGCTCTTGAAATTTGGAGGCAATTCAAGAGGCTGGTGATCATCTATAAAACCATTCACAAGAAAGTGGCTGTTAGCTGCAGGACCATGTCTTCAGTTGTCTGCCCGTCTCATATGCTGCAACAGGGCTGGCATCAATCAAACAATGGTACCTTATTATTTGTAACATATGCTGGATGTATTGCAGTGTCTGCCCCATTCATATACCTCTTCCCAAAACTTTATAGTTGACCCTACTTCTGTCAGCCTTTAAGACAGTTCTGAAGACCTGGTTTTTCCCCAGATCTTCATATGTGCAAATTCACTTAATCCTATGCATTCTTTAAATCAACAAATCTTTTTCACATGTTTTTCATAGACTTCCTGAAAAGTCTGCTTTCTCTACACTCACCATCCCGCATAAAATTACATGGCACTTCCCATATTTTACTCATTGTCATAGTCTTTCAATCACAGTTCTGCCAAATACCTTCACATATCTACCAAACCCATAATCCCCCTTATTTTTTTGCATTCGCTCCTGTTACTTTTACCTTTGTACAGGGGAACAATAATGGTATTGTTCCAATCATCAGGCAAGAATGCAGACTTCATGCATATTAAACAACTTCCTCAGCCTCTCCCTGAGCAAACCATATGCATATTTTAAGATTGTCTGTAGTTCCCATTCAATTTTACAGAAGACTATTCACTTCAGAAAATATTGGAAGAATTTTCATAGATGGACTGCTTTCGGACTTTCAATTTTGGCTTTACTTAATCAATGTATAAGGATGCCTCTTCTACAAACAACTCTGGGAGAACAACAAGGGTTAAAACATTCAATACAAAGGCTATAATAAAACATGCAGGTAGACCTTATTTAGCTACTACTTCTTTTAATGACTGTTTGCACTTATGACGATGATGTAAATGTAACTTTATGTCCAATCCTCCCATTTACAATCTTCTCAAATCTATAAAGCAAATGAAAGCTGGAGATCATAAGCACCATCATGGTTTCACCTAGTGTGCACTTTGCTTAATGACCAAGTTGTGGGTCCGAACTAAATTAACAAACAAGAACTGCCTGCCATAAAACAACCATGGGAAGAGCCAGGCACACAACTCATGCTGTATGGTTGCCTCATAAAAATTTAAAAAATTAGTAAGAGGAGTATATGAGAACCAGTCTGGTCTAG